GAAGGGACCTCCGCTGGCCAACCCCTCTCCCCACACCAGGAATTGTTGATGGAGGGAAGCAGGGACTCTAACTCAGCAAAAAGCAGAGCCCTGCAGTTTGCGGGGACTCTTAGGGAATAGCCCTAAAGGCAGGGAATGTTGGTGACCGGGAGTGAGGGTAGGGGGAGGGGTGCAGGCTGGTCCCTCAGCCCTGTGAGAAAAGGAGAAGCTTCCAGCACCAATAGCAGAAGGCCTCTGACTCCTCTGACCTGGAGCCACGATAGCTCTCCTTCTGGTTCCCTCTCCTCAGCCCGTGATGCTATGGCCAGGCCCAGCTGAGGTTTCCCAGGAGAGAGCAGGGTCCCAGCCTCCCTGGCAGCCCTTGTGGCCCTTAGAGCGACACACGCTGTCCGGGGCTTAGGTGTGGTGACTACAACCCCACGTGACTGGGCCAGCTCTTGGGCCGCCTGTTGTGCTGATCCCACAAAGGCCTGGAGCCTGGCAAGGAAGGCAGGTGGTCAAGGTGAGAAGGCTGTCAGGGCCCCGGGAGGCTGTAGGGACAGGTGCTGGCTACACATCATCAACCCAAGCCCAGGGTATCAACCGAGTCATCGGCCCAGACGCACCGTGAATGCCAGTCTCTGCCCTGGCATACAACCCATGACTGGCTGGAAAGAGGCAGACTAGCAGGGAGTTCCCCTCCAGAGTAAAGGACTTGGAGGAAAATCATGCTGGGAGAGGAGTTTATCCAGGTCCTGTTAGGAAGACCTGGGCTCCGGACCTGCCTGCACCCCTAAGGGTTGCGTGATGCCACCCCCAAGCCTCCAGGCAGAATGTGTGAGAACTAGGAGAGGTCTTCTAATTCAACCTTCCACGCCCAGCAGAAATTCTTCCCACGAACCCTGGCACATGACCACCCAGTGGTTCTCCAGACATTTCCAGGACGGGAACCTCATGCCCACAGGGCGGCCATTCCTATTCGGCAGTTGTTAGAAACCTCTTTTTCCCAAGGCCTGGAAGGACCAAGACCAGATGTTAACAGTGTCACCTCCCAAGGAGGAGTGTAGGACGACGGGAGGGTGACAGGGCCTTCCTTCCCTGTTGCTTTGGTATGGGATGCTTTCAATACCGTGTGTGAAATTTGTAATAGCAAGGAAAACAAAAAGTCAGGTTCTTCTTTATTTGACCCCGATCTGTCCTCCTAACATTTCCACCTATTGGTCCCAAGTCTGCTCTCTGGGATCAGAAAATAAGCTAAACCCACTTCTCCTTGGATGCCCATCAAATACTTTAGATGGGGATCCCGTTTCTTCTCTAGGTTGAGCCACTCCTGCTGTAACTTGGTCTCCAGACTGGACCCCATCCCAGTCAGCCCCTTCTGAGCCTCAGACAATAAAACTCAGTGGGTTACAGAGGAAGGAACCAATAATTCTGAGTTGGGTGTTATGCTAATTAATTAATGATGTCCTCTTTTATGTGTGTGTGTGTCAGGGTGGGGGGCAGGCACCACCAGATCACTCACTTCCTCAATCCTCGGTTATCTGTAAAAAGGGAAAACAATACCTTTGCTATCAGAATCAACTGAGATGAAAGAAATGAAAAACATTAAAAGCACAAATCCCTACCCTTTCGGTTCCGACTTAGAAGCCCATTCCGTTTAAAAAGCAGCGAAGCCTTGTACTCATGGAGCCAGACGGCTTGGGTTCGAATCCCAGCTCTGTCACTCATCGGCTGTGTGACCTTGGCGAAATGAACCCCACATGGCTCTACTGTAGTTTTCTCCGTGAAACAAGGAGAATGAGAACACCAATCCCCGAATGCATTTTTAAGAGCATAGGATGTATTGCCCAGCCCTCGTGTTAGCTGTCCACTCCGCCTTCTCCCCAAGAAGAGAAGGGCTTTACCGAAACGAGGCTAATTCGTAGCACTTACTCGGAAGGCAAGGCCATAAACCAAATGGGTGGGGCTTTTGGGGTGAGTCACTCCACAACACTCCCCCTGCCCCCCAATATCTGGAGGCAAGGATTCTGTGCTGGGCACTGTGCCCAGGGCTTTAGAGGTGTGTTCACTGAGCTCTGCCAACAGCTCCGTGAGGTGGGTGCTATCCTCACTCCCATTCGACCGATGAGGAAACAAAGGTTCACAGGGGTTAAGTAACTTGCCTCGGGTCACACAACTAGGAAGTCATGGAGCCAGGACTCTAGCTGAGTCTGTCTGACTCCCATCGTCCGTGTTGGACACCGGTGTCCTATTCTCTTAACCAGCCCCCTAGTTGGGGCTCCTGCTTTTTGAGGAAGCCACGGCCTTTCTTCCCTGACCACACTGTCCACTGTTACTGTGAGGCGAGGCGGAGGGGTGGTCTGTTCTCTCACTGAGCTCTCTGCCCCTGCGCGCCGCCCCTCTCCCCTCCAGAAGTCTGTCATCAGACTGTCACCAGGGACCCCAGCTGCATCTCCTTGGGTCCCCTCAGGGCCATCCTGGCATGATACCCCTGGGCTGTTTGCTGGTTCTTGGCCCCTGACCGTGAAATGGTTCCACACTCATCTACAAAAAAACAAAACGAGAAAACAGCCATTTTGGACGTAGGCCCTGCTGCGTAATATCATTACCGAGCCAGCAGAGCATCCCGTCCCATTATCGCCTGGCCAGGCTTCTCTGAGGCAAGCCTGGCTGCAAATGGCTTTCTCCGGGCTGGGGGGGCAGGGGGGGCCCCTCAGCCCCTACTTGCCCTCCACTGCCGGAGGAGATCTTATCTTTAATTGACAACTGGCTGCCTGCCATTGCTTTGCCTCAGCTGTCTCCAGCTCCAAGCCCGATTTTCTCTTACGCTTTCTGGAGCAGGCTTCCCCTCACTTCTTCTGTCCCCCTCGGCTCTGCCTCCCTCACCCCCTGCCCCTCTGTGTGCTCTTGTCCTTTCTTGGTGGGACGGACACAGAAGAGAGCTCAGAAGTCTGTGGACAAAAGCCTGAGAGCTACGTCAGGGGTGAGGAGAGACTAACACTTGCTGGGCATCCACCGTGTGTCATATGCGCACCTAGGGCCCTGGGCCAGGTCTGTACACTCACTGTGTCCAAAATCGGGGCTGTTGTGATCCCCGTTCTCCAGGCAGGGAAATGGAGGCTCGGTGAGCTGCCCCCAAGTCACCCAGCTAGCACATGGCGAGCTTTGAATCCAGACTTTGAACTGAGGCCCTAGGACTCTCGCTTATGCCTGGGCAGACGTGGCTGCATGGTTTCCGGAGCCCAGTGCAAAAGGAACACTCAGAGCCCCTTCTTCCACGATTTCCAGATGGTGACAGCTGAGCATGAAGCCGCACGCCTGGGAGCCAGCCCTGCATGTGCCCCTACGTGAGTGAGCGGGGAAAGCCCAGTGAGGGGCCGTGTGTCACCATCACGTACCACGACCCCCATCCTCGCTGGGCCCGGGATTCGGTTATTCCCCGTCCCTCAGTGGTCCTGGATGTGCCACCACTCCCTTGTGGGCAGTTCATCAGCCACCCAGTCGTCGCGGTGACTGCGGCATCCCCAGGGCCTTGGCCCACATAGAACTGGCGCAATTGCAGGGAGGAGGCCCCCCGCAGAAACAAGCAGGAATACAGGGGAACTCCTTCCGAACGCCTCTGTCCTTCTGCACCACAGTGGGGCTTAAGGGGGCAGCAGCAGAGACCAGAACACTGCCTGGGAGCGGGGGGGTCCTGGGTTTTCCTTTCCCGACCCCAGGCAATCCTTTCCCCTCTCTGAGCATTCGTGTCTAGCTCTGAATGCAGGGGTGGCTAGGTATCGATGATTCCTGGGGCGGGGGCCAGGGCTATGATAGGAGTGTGCTGCATTTCTCAGGTGCTGCGGTGGAAGCCCGGGGACGTCCCCACAGACACAGAGCCAGAAAGGAGAGGCGGAGGCAGTCACTCGTGGCAGGTGCAGCAGGATGCTCCAGATGTCTTTATTGGGGCTCGAGCACAACATGACAGTGGAAGGCATGCAGACAGGGCGGCAGGGCCCAGCCTAGGCATGCCTCAGACACACACACACACACACACACACACACACACACACACGAGGGGACAGCTTTAGAAAAGGACTGACCAACACTAGGGAGGGACAGGGTGGGGGAGTGGGGAGGGAGGGCCGCGGGAGGGGCAGAGGCCAAGGTCGAAGGGGTCACCTGGCCTCTGCTATTGCACGGTCCTCTGGCCACCGGCCAGGAAGTACAGTATTGCAACTGGTCTCCGCTCGCCCGAGCCTTCCCCTTCTCAGACCCCTGAGCCGGATGGGCGGACAGACCCCTTCCCTGCCCGTCTGCCCAGCAGCATCTTTGAAAACAAACGGACAAAGGAGACAGAACAAAACCCCCCAAATAAAAAAAGACAAAACGCTCCCCCCTCAGTCCAGGACAGAGGTAAGGTGGAGGAAGGAGTGGGAGAAGCTGCAGAGGAGCCCCTTGGAAGTCCCCCAAAACTGGGGCGAGGGTGGGAGGTAGAACCCCAATCTGGGGTGGGGTGGGGCTTGTGGAGCAGTGACCCTGGGGGGCAAGCGGGCCTTCCACAGACCACTGGCCACAGGGGAAACAACCCCAAGAGGGCAAGTCTAGCCTGGGATCCCCCAGTGGGATTGGCCCTTCCCAGATGCTCTTTTCCTGGGACATTCCACATACGTGTTCAGCAGAAACAAGGAGTCAGTGAAGGGGAAAGGGGGCGGGGCTGGGGGAGGCCTGGGGGGGCCTGGGGGTGGGGCCCGGGCTTGGGGAGACACAGCCTAACAAAGAAGACAGACCACCAACAGCACGTGCACTACACACAAGAGTATAGTATGTATGAATATAGACACTATATGTGCATATATATCTCTTCAGTGTACAACAGAACAGAACATCGGACCCAGATGGCTCTGGGCCCGGAGGGTCACATGGGAGGTTTTCCGTCAGTCCTGTGCAAACAAGGATCTCTGAGTCTTTCCCAGAGAAAGATTCTTGCCAGGGTTCCAGAGTTTCCCTAAGCCTTTGGCTTTCTGTCTGTCTGCCTGCCTCTCTCACGTTGGTGCCGCTTAAGAGAGGGTGAGGACTTCAGCCTGGGCATAGCTGGGCGAGAGGGCGTCTTGGCAGGTCTCTGTGTTTAAAGAGCACAGGTGTGAGACACTGGGACGCACGCTTTCGGCTCAACATTGCCTTCTGGGGGGGCAAGGAGTTCAGCAAAAGAAAGGGAGAAACAAAGAATGAGACGTTAGAAGGAAGCCAGCTGCGGACCCACAGCCTGTGGGCTAAGGACTAGGCCAGGAGCAGAGCTGGAAGGCATGGGGACCCAGGGCAAAGAGGCCAGGAAGCGCAAGGATGGGTCAGGGAATGGGGGGAGCCCCTCCTGCAGCCCCTAGCTGCCTACCCAGAGCTAGGCCAAGTGACTCCTAGGTCATGTTACAGCTTTATCTCCATACCTGCTCAGGTAATGAGCTCCAGGAATCCCTAGCCCTCAGGTCTTCACAACCCCAGTGCAGTGGGTGGAGGGACCACAACCCCGAAGCCTGGTACGGACGCAGTGGGGGAGGTTCCTGGTGTGGCCTGTGGTCCAACCTGGGCTCCCTTCCCCCACATAGCTCCACCCGCCATCACTAGCTGGGGCTATCCCACTGTCCCAGGCGGGCTAGTGAAGAAGGCTCCTGAGTGTGCTGCCTTGTGTGCCCAGCCCCCCTTCCTCAATCTGGTGGGAACAGAGCTGGAACAGCTGGAGGGTAGATACTGAAGGGGAAGGTCAGGGAGGACCCATGTATCCATCTCAGGAGACAAAGCCAGAAAAGAGCATCTTACTGAGAAACCCAACCGCTCAGCGAGCCCTTCTCGGCATCCCATCCTCAGCCTGGAATGTCGGTGGCGTGGGCCTTCCCTTCTCCCACCTTCCCAGTGGGGGCACAGGAAGGGCAGGGAAGGAGGCTGCTGTGAGGGGCAGGCATTTCACGGTGATACGCTGGCCAGGGCAGAGGAGGCCCTCCTCTCCCAGGGGGCTCTGGGAAAGGGTGACTTCCGGGCCTATGCTGAACAGACGTCTTCCCCTCTGGTTCCAGCTCATAGCTCCTCCCAGAAGCCCTGGGGGTTGAGAAATGGCCTCTATGGCTGTTAACAGTAAGTAAGGTTAACAGCTCCTATCTGGGCAGCTTCCCTGCTCTGCTGGGAGGGAGTGGGCCCCAGCCGTGGGGGAAAGGTTTCTCCGAGACAAAGTAATGGGTACAGGTCCAAGTCCACGTGCAACATAAAGCAAACTGTGCTCTCAGATTATAGGTGGAAGAGAGAGTCTCCCCCTGAGGTGCGAGGCCCCAGGTCTGGATAAGCTGAGGCCCGTGCAGGCAGCCGCCTCCCTAGGCAGGGCCCTGGGAGGCCCAGAAGTCCTGAGAGGTAGCTGGGGCAGACAGCCTCCTCAGCTGTCCTGTTAGCCAGGTCCTGTGCTTCCCCTACAGAAGCCAGAGAGCCAGTGGGGGGACAGGCGGGAGCCCATCTCCCAAGGCACGAGGGGCTCCAGCCTGGCACTCCCGCATCATGTCGCCCAGGGACAGCTGTACCCACCAGAGGGGTGCCATGAGCATGCCCATCCCTGTGGGAGGGAAGAGAGGGAAGGAGGAGGTGGGTGCCGTGGAAACTTGGACTCCTGACAACTTGAGGGCCGCCACAGAAATAGCCGCCTCGGCTCCCTGAGCCCGGGAGGCAAGCCCGAGCACAGAAGAGCTGTGGTGTCCGCGCTAAACCGGACACCTAGCTCATCACGTCCCTGCCGGGGGCAGGACCCGGGTGCCAGGGAGCCCTGTGGGGACAAGACTGAATCTGTCCTCACCAAGGAGCAGCAGCTGGGCTCCCAGGGCCAGCTGTGAGAGGGCACCTAGAGTCTCCATCCTGCTCCACAGGGCTTCCCTGTCTGTCACTTGAAGGGGCCTGTCCCCTCTTGAAGCGTGGTCACATGGATGCCCCTTTATTTTCTCACCTCTTAGGGGGACACTTCATTCTGAGAGCAAGCAGGAGACAGGCCCCATGACCACAGCAGGGCTGGGGTATCCCAGGGCCCACTGTGGACAGACTTCTCTGGAAGGCACATTCCTGTGTCTGCCCCAGGCTGAAGACAGAGGGCACTGAAAGGGGGGTGCTCCTGGCCCAGGCTTGTCACAACACCCAACCCTCATGAAATGATCTGACCTTTCTGCCCAGTTCACCATTCGGGGCGGCCTCCAGACTCCCCGGCCTCCTGCTGAGTCCCTGAATGCTGTCTTGCCCTTCCTATCTTTGCCCACCCTGGAAGGAGCAGATATGGACCTTAGTCATTCCCTCTCCAAAGTTGCATAATCTGACTCTAAAAATTGCCAGGCGCACAGCTCCACTGTCAGGTCTAATTCCCATCAGGTAAAACAGGAAATGTCTTGGCTGAGGCCTTCCGCGTTTCTGGGGCCGAGGGGGCCTGGAGAGCCTCCCCCGGTTCGCTGCTGGAGAGGGGCCACCTGCAGCCTGGCCCAGCCCAGCCCTGCCCTGCCTGGGAGTGGCAGGGTGCCTGCGCAGGAGCGGGAGGGGGCGGGATGGCTTCTGTCCCCACACTTCCCCTCGGCTGCCCCTGCCCAGGGCGCGCCCCTGCTCCCTCAATGACTCACAAACCTGTTGTGCTCCCGGGCTCGTTAGGTAAATGAATACACTTAATTATAGAAATTAGATGAGTCTCCGGTTCTGGCAGCAATCCAGAGCGCAGAGGCTGGCTGGGAGCGGCAGGTGACTCAGGCAGGGCTGGGAGTCTGAGGCAGCAGGAGAAGGAGGGAAGAAAAACTCGTGGAAGCAGAGAGAGCAGCTTGGGAGAGATACGGCTGCTGGGGCGCAGATGGGATGCCGGGCTCTGCTGTCGCCGGACGTCACTCCCAAGAGGAGGGCATTCCCGTGCCTAGGCAGCCAATAGTGGGGCCCTAGGGACCCCACCTGCAGGCCAGACCGGAGCTGGAGACCATCAGGCCTCCTCTCCCAGGGGGGCACCGCTCCCCTGACCAGTTAGCTCCCTGCGCACCAGCAGAGATCGGGGTGCCCCACGGGACGGCCTTATTCTTTGCTGGTCTGGGTGTGGGATGGACAGACAGACAGACAGAGATACTCAGTCGCAGGCTGGTTACTGACTAAAGGCCACGAGGACTGGGAATGCATTTGCCATGATGAAGGTGGGACCCTGAGGGGAGGCAAGGCCCAGAGGCACAGGTCCTGGGGGTGCCGGCAGCTCCGGCTCAGGACGGGGAGGCGGGGGATCAGTGCGAGAGGAGCCCTGGGAGCCATCTCCCCCTTGCTCTCAGGCTCCAGAGCTGAACGTTCTGGGGAGCTGGGTGCTGTGGAGGAGAGGCTCGGGGGCCTGGGTTCCTCTGCCTCCTGCCCGGCTCCCTCAGGCCTCCAGAGGAATGAGGGCTGGAGGGCATGTGTGCGCCCAGAGGTGGGGAGAGCCGAGGGCGCGGCTAAGGGGCCGGGGGCCCAGGGGGAGGGCTGGTGAGAGGGCGGAAGGGGTGGGAGAGCAGGAGCTTTCTTGGAGGGTAGGGTGAGCTGTATCTCGATGCCAGTGGAGACAGCCCCAGACTGGTTCCTCCTGCTCCAGCTATGTTGTTTAGACTCCGGGATTTTGCACAGCCTTGGTGAAGAAAAGGCACATGGGTCAGAGGGGCATGGCTCCTCGTCTGAGCAGCTCCGTGGGATCCATGCTCGGGGGGGACCCTGCGGGGCAGGCGGCCCCTTGCTGGTTGAGGGGTCTGGCCCACCCGGAGAAGGCTCCCTGACTCTCCCTGGCTTCCAGGTCACCTAGGCTCAGAGGACAGACCTCAGGGACCCACAGCTGATCTTTGCCCTGTCACTGTCCCCAGGTAAGTTTCCACCAGCCACACAAAGACCCCATAGCCTCCAGCAGACTCCTTCTCAATCCTAAGCAGCCCTGATTAGCACTGGTCCCCGTCCTCCCAGGAAGTTCACACTCTGACACTCGGGCAGCCAGAGGCTAACCATGGGGTCTGTGCCCAGGGCTGAAGGAGCCCCGGGCTCCCCGCTCCAGGTCCTACACGGAGCCCGAGTGCAGAGAAGGGAGGCATGGTCTGGCACGGGGAAAGTTGCCGCGTGCTTACTGGGAGTTTGGCGATGCTAATTGCCACGCTTGCTTAGCAGGGCCTGTTTCCCAGCAACCCACCTGTTCCTTCTCGAAGGTCACTCTAATTGGCTGAGCTACATGCTTGTTGCCAAGAAGCAGTGTGGAGGCATCTTGAAAAGAAAACAGCCGGGCCACACAAGCACCCAGAGGGATCTGGCGCTGTGTGCGATCCAGACTCTCCGGCCCATGCACGCACACGTGCAACCCCTGCCCTGGGTGTGACCCAGTCCCCAGGACCTCACGGTCCCTCCTGACTTGCACCCTCACACCTCTTCCACGCTGCCACTGAGCCCCTGCCAATACCGGTGTGAAAACTGGGGTGCTCAGCACTCTGCTCAAGTCCTACATGGGAGGTGGGGTCCCCCCTGCCCCACATCCTGGGCCGTCACTTAGCGTGCTCCAGCCAAAGCAAGTCTCTGGGGCTAAACCATGACACAGTAGAAGCCTCCGCATGTTTGTGATGGGGGGCAGGAGGGACCAGCACATCCAGAGCCCAAGGATTGGGGCACGCAGAGGATGGGGCGACCAGAGGGACACAGGAGATGGTGTGAGTGTTCTGAGGACCTTCCATCTGCAGCCCTGTAGCTGGGGCCTCTGGGCCATCTCCCTCCAGCTGCCAGATGGCTGCCCTCGCTGCTGCCACCCAGCAGGACATATGTCCAGCAGAGCGGGACACACACCTCTCAGGGCCTGGTTAGGGTCAGGGTGCCCTGGGGATCCCATGGGGACAGGGGCTGGGAAGGTGCCCTGCAGGCTGCATGGGATGGGCGGGCCAGGGGACATCCTTGGGGTGACAGAGGCATCACAGGCTAATCCTGTAGCAGCCACTGCCCCACCTCACTCAACCCAGACTTGGTCTGGGGTTTGGGGATAGTGAGAAGTTTGGCAGGGGTTGGGGGGAGGCAAATTTGGCTAAAAGAGGGCAGGTTAAGAAGTGGCCTGAGAACCCAGGGACAAGCTTTTTTGCGGGGGGCAGGGGGGGAGTCAAGGTTTATCCTGGAACTAAGTGTTTAGGCAGGTTATGTCACAGGGACAGGGCACAAAAGACAAAAAGGGGATCAGGAACTGGGCAGGAGCACCTGCTCATGAGACTCCTGTCCTCAGCCACTACTGGCCCTCTACCCTCCTCGGTCATTTCTGACCCCTTTTTTGCAGGCAAGGACTCCCCAGCTCCGCTGCCCAGCTTCTGCCACAGCTTGGGGCCTGTTGACAGAATTTCAGCCTTCCCTTACCGGAGAGAAGAGGCTACTTCCTTGAACCCTCCAAATCCTTCAGAGCATACTTCAGAGGGACACATATTCCCTACCTACCCCTACCCCCATCCCCGCCTCCTGGTCACCCTCTGGCTCTGCCTCAAGAGGCCTACAGAGACGGGTCTGCCCCTCCTGGGCTCCTGGACCACCCCCCCCATTCCCCCTGCCGCCGCGTGCAGGATGGAGGAGGTAGGGCCTGTGCCAGGATCTCCAAAGACCTCACGGCAGCAGCTCATTCTTGCCCTGACTCCTGAATGTTGTTGGCATCTCTCAGGATCACTTACTTGGGAAACCTTAGCTGTGTTTCAGGGAGGTCTGGGGAAAGTGTGGCACTGACCCTGGGGAGCCAGGCCTCAAGGTCACAGCAGGAACCAGAGGGAGAAGGGGTAATCAAATGGAGCGCAAAGGCAGGGGCCCCTGACTTGGTATCCCCTTACCTTCTAGTGCTTGTCTTCCCTGTGGGTATCTAGGGTGGGGGGTGCTGGGCTCTGTGTACCTCCGGGGGATGCCCGAGGCCTTTCTAATCCAGGGACTGGGAGATCAGGTACCTATCTTAAAAGCGGGGACACATCCAAGGCAGAAGAGATGGTGGCCAAGGCCTCAGGGAAGGAGGGGACCTCACGTTTTGCGGGGGACACTGGGGAGACTCAGCTCCCCGGGGGCTCTCCCCCTGCCCGGCCTGGGGAGCCATACCTTTCCGGACCCTGCCATCAACACAGGCATAGTCCCCGGCGCTGAGCAGGAAGCAGGCGGCCGCCTTCTTGGTTTTGTCCCGGGGGCCAGAGCGTCGCAGGGCCCGGCGCTCCTCAGGGGTGGGGGCGGAGGCCAGGGGCTGGGTGAGGCCAGCTCCCTCCTCGTCTGACAGCACCGCATTGGCATCGCCGTTCTGCTTGGAGTCTAAAGGGGGCAGACAGAAAGGAGGCTGTGTGAGGGGCTGCCCAGGCCTTCCTCCGGGCTTGCCTGGGGTGTCAGATCCCGGACCTAGAGTGTCACTTCCCCGACCCAAAGGGGCCTGGCATCTCCCTGCGAGGGCCAGGGGGCAGGGGGCACCTGCTTCCCTCTCAGCCTCGGCCCGGCGTCTTTCCTGGGACACGGAGCCGCAGATACCCTAAGCAGGGGTTCCTGAAATCTGCCCGCCGCAGGCTGCCCCACGGGATTAGCCCGAGGCTGGTGGCAGACTCTTCTTCCTCCTTGGGTCTGGCTCAGGCTGACCCTTGGATGAGTTTGCATTCCCTCAGAGAACGCCTGGCTTGCTGGGATGAGGGCTGGCACGGTCAGGGTTAAACCAAAAAGTGGCTTCCATGGCCATCTCCCTGGGCCCCCTGAGGCACTCTTGTTCACTGGGCATCGAAGGCATTGTCAAGTGCCTGAAGGACTCGGAGCCCTCTGCTCGGGGCTCAGCCGTCTGGGGAAGAGCCCCGTACCGAAGAGGCTCGGACGCAGCTCCCACTGCTCTGGGCTCTGAGCCCCAAGCCCCGGCCTCCGTCAGGCGGCAGTGCAGGGGGGCCCTCGGCTCTGGAGAGGGGCCCACTCGGTCTGAAGGCAGTGGCCTCGGCATTGGCCAGGGACGCCCTAACCATGGCCAAGCAGTTAGTCAGGCTGAGGCACAGCTGATGGGGCCATGGTAAGTGTGCACCGAGCAGCGGGTGCAGGGGCTTGTCCATTCTGATACTAGGTTTCTCTCTGAGCTCTGAACGGCCCTCAGGGTACAGCTCCAATTTCCTGGGGCACGGGCTGGGAGATTTACATTCAGGATCAGGGAAGGGGGAACCACTATGATGCGGGAGAAGCGGGGAGACTGAAGGGTGCTGTTCCATCAAGGTCTCTGGAAGACCCAGGCCCCCAAGTGGCCCCAGGGAGTGAGTAGCCCCGGCATATACAATGGGCACCCACCAACAGGCCAGGTGAGTGTCTCGAGTCAGGCACCCCCTGGAGGACGAGTCCCACTTTGCCCCCAGAGCTTGGCCAGAAGCTGCTACCTTTGTCTCCTGGCCCACCCCAGCTCCCAGATGGCCTGGCATCCAAGGGCTCCCCAGACTAGGAATCCCAGACCTCCCTCAGGAGCCCACCCCATACCTAACCCTTAGGTTCCCGCTCTCCAACCTAACTCCAAGTTGCTGTGGGTTAAGCTGATTTCCTTTCCCATCTCTTGACTCAGGTGGAAGCAAGCTTTCCAGGGGTGGCCTTTCCCATCCTTGCAGAACAGGATCCAGGCCCTCAGGCCCTCCCCCTCCAGGATGCAGGTGTCATTTTCTTCCACACTTCCTTTGCCCCTGCCCGATTCTGTCTGGGCTATTCGCTCTTGGTTCCTTCCCCTCCCGTGTTAAACACTGAGCCCAGGACTCAATCTAGGCTTGTGCTGAACAGAAGGCAGCCTCCCACTGCTGTTACGTTATCACATTTATTAGGCCAAGAGACATCAGACTCCAGTGTTTGGAAAGAAATGATTCATGCGTTGATGCACCTTGGAAGAACAGCTGCCGGGCTCTCTAGCTAATAACGACAATGCCTGATGCTTGTAAAGTGGTTTTTACTTCTCAGAGTCCTCTCATATCTGTCATTTGTTTGGGTCTCATCAACGTCCTGGGAGTAGGAGATCATTCCCATTTACCAGGTGAGGATCAGAGAGGGTAAGTGACTGGTCTCAGGTCACACAGCACAGTGGCCAAGGTGGTACTGGAATTTACAGACCCGTGCACTGCCCATCACAGCCTAAATTGGGTGGGACACTCCACAAACCCTGATGTTCGGAAAGCTACTGGAACACCAAGAAATAGAGATTGGGCCTCAATACTTTGCACTCTTAAAGGCACATCTTATACTCAGGGAAGCCCAGAGTAGTAAAGCACAACCCCAAATTCCAAGGGCTGAGTTTCATCTGGGGACTCCCTGGGCCACTGGGGGAGAGGTGGCTTTCCTTCCCAACCCCCAATCTCACCTGCCCGTTTCCTCTCAACCATACCCTCTTCTGGGGCAGCGGGGCTGGTATCACTGTAGGTGCTGTCCCGGGGCGAGGTCTCCTCAGACTTGCAGTAAATGGGTGACTCAAGCTGAGGCGGCCGGGGCACGTGCTTCTTTCTTTTCTTAGGCAGCTTCTGCTTGGCCATGGCCAGGGAGTAGTACATGCCGAAGTTGTTGACGATGACCGGCACGGGCATGGCGATGGTGAGCACGCCAGCCAGTGCACACAGCGCCCCCACCAGCATGCCTGACCAGGTCTTGGGGTACATGTCCCCGTAGCCCAGCGTCGTCATGGTGACCACCGCCCACCAGAAGCCGATGGGGATGTTCTTGAAGTCGGTGTGGTCATTGCCCCGCGGGTCAGAGGGCCTGGCGCCAATGCGCTCAGCATAGTAGATCATGGTGGCAAAGATGAGCACCCCCAGGGCCAGGAAGATGATGAGCAGCAGGAACTCATTGGTGCTGGCGCGCAGGGTGTGGCCCAGCACGCGCAGCCCCACGAAGTGGCGCGTGAGCTTGAAGATGCGCAGGATGCGCACGAAGCGCACCACGCGCAGGAAGCCCAGCACGTCTCGGGCCGCCTTGGAGGACAGGCCGCTCAGGCCCACCTCCAGGTAGAAGGGCAGGATGGCCACGAAGTCGATGATGTTGAGCAGGTTCTTGACGAAGTCCAGCGTGTCAGGGCAGCACACGATGCGCACCAGGAACTCCAGCGTGAACCATAGCACACACACCCCCTCGATGTAGGTCAGGATGGGCTCCGTCTCCACCTCCCGCCGGAAGTGCACGCTGGTGGTGTTCCCCACCCGGTGGATCTCTGTCACGTTGCGGTCAATGTTGAAGGCCTCATGGGTCTCCAGGCAGAAGGTGGTGATGGAGACCAGGATGAAGAAGAGAGAGGCGAAGGCCACCACCTGCGGGCAGGGAGGAGAGTGGGGCGGCTATCAGGGCCAGCTGGGTGCCCTCCTGTGGGGGGGTGGGGGTGGGGCAGGGGTCACTGGGCAATTGTTAGGTGGCGAGAGGCAGGATTAAGGTACACAGTCAGGGGCGCCTGGGTGGCTCAGCTGGTTGAGCGACTGCCTTCAGCTCAGGTCATGATCCTGGAGTCCTGGGATCGAGTCCCGCATCGGGCTCCCTGCTCGGCGGGGAGCCTGCTTCTCCCTCTGACCCTCTCCCCTCTCATGTGCTCTCTCTCTCTCATTCTCTCTCTCTCAAATAAATAAATAAATCTTTAAAAAAAAAAGAGAGAATTTGGGGCGCCTGGGTGGCTCAGCTGGTTAAGCGACTGCCTTCAGCTCAGGTCATGATCCTGGAGTCCCGGGATCGAGTCCCGCATCGGGCTCCCTGCTCGGCAGGGAGTCTGCTTCTCCCTCTGACCCTCCCCCCTCTCATGCACTCTCTCTCATTCTCGCTCTCTCAAATAAATAAATAAATCTTTAAAAAAAAAAAAAAAAGAATTTGGGGCGCCTGGGTGGCTCAGCTGGTTAAGCGACTGCCTTCAGCTCAGGTCATGATCCTGGAGTCCCGGGATCGAGTCCCACATCGGGCTCCCTGCTCAGCGGGGGGTCTGCTTCTCCCTCTGACCCTCCTCCCTCGCGTGCTGTCTCTCATTCTCTCTCACAAATAAATGAATAAAATCTTTAAAAAAAAAAAAAAAAGGTACACAGTCAGGGGCTGGAGCTCCCTCCTCAGAGGGTCTTTATCCATCTGCTTGGGTGTTTTAAGGCAGTATTCCCAGTCTTTGTCCCCGTGCACAGAAGACAGACGGAGAACTATAGCTGCCTGGCCCCGCCTCCTGCCTAGCTCTGTGCCCCTGCAGTCCTGCCGGGCCTCAAAGCTTCCCAAACTGTATATAAATCATCTGGGAATCTTGTAAAATGTGATTCTGATTCAGGAGGTTGAGGGCAGGCCCTGTGATTCTGCATTTCTAACAAACTCTCCCGTGAGGCTGCTGGTCCACAGACTACACTTGGAGTAACTAGGCTTTAAGACAGTGGTCCTCAAAGTGAGGCCCCGGCCCAATAGCAGCATCGCTTGGGAACTAGTGAGAAACGCATATTCTCGGGCCCCGCGTAAACCTACTGAATGAGAAATACTGGGAGTAGGGCTCATAATCTGTTTTAACAAAACTTCCAGGTAATTCTGATGCACGCTACGTTTTGAGGTCTGCTGCATTGAGGGGTATGCCCAGAGACAGGGGGCTGGAGGAAATGACCCTGGGCCTCTTTCTGCCAGCTGAGTCTTTAAGCTCCAGCCATGACCCACCCCCCCTCCTCAAGCCCCACGTCCCAGCCCCTCTCCCCCACCTCTCAGTTTAAAATGTCCCAGCTAACTGCCCAGACAGTGAGAAGCATCTGAAAGAAGGCAGCATGCTCCATGGCAGGAGACAGGAGGAGTCTGCTCAGAATAACCACCCCTTCCCTTCCCGACAACTGACATTTCCTGGGACACTGAGCTCCAACAGAAAATAAACTGCACCCACTGGGATCGGAGTGTGGCAGCGGCTGGTCCAGACAGCTGCTGGGATCTCAGCTAGAATGATGACAGCAGTGCTCGGCAGAGGTTTAAGTGTCCAGCCATTATGAATGGAGAGGAAATGCATGTGTGATAACACCAATTAGGGAGCCTTCATCTATTATTCACCACTGTCAGGGTACCTGTTGCCGAGGTCTACGCCCCCTGCCGCTCGCTGCCTGTCCTGTGGAGCGTGGGGATGGGCTTCCTCCCGAGCAGAGGGCTGCGCTTCAAACAGGTGCATGAGGAAGGACTGTGGGCCCACGACCACTTGGCAACCCCCACGCCTGACCCGCCCTGATTTCCACCTGACCATGGCGTTGCCTCCTGTCTAATGGTGCCTCTGGGAGATGCCCTGCTCCCTGAGAGTCTGCGCTGGGAGGGAGAGAAGGCACGCCTTGCTCTTACTACTGCCGAACACCAATGGAGAATACAAGGGGAGCTGGGAAAATGAAGCAGCAGCATCTCCGGGGCTTCTGAAGCAGGACCGGGTCTGAGGAGAGAACTTGGGAACAGACATCCATTAGCGGTCTATTCTGTCCTGGCATGGCTGGGCACTTGATACATGTTACCGCCTTCAGTCCTCCCTGTGACCCTGTGAGGTAAGCCCCATCATCTCGCTTTACGGACGGGGAACTGAGAGTCAGAGAGGTTCTGTGCTTGCCTGAGGTCACACAGCCTGGAAGGGGTGGAAGGCAGACTTGAACTCAGCATGGTTTAACTTCAGAGGCTGCACCTTCTCTTTACCCCACACAGTCTTCACCACCCCCAGGCAGGATCAATTCACAGACCCAGGAAAGTCTTCTCTGAACCGTCAGCACTGCCCCCACCAGCTCCCTGATGACTGCTATTTCACCCTGAGGGATATGTACCTTTGGCTTAAGACAGGCACCCATCACACACTAAGACATCTTATTTACACTTGAACATGGACGGGTTGATCAGATAGAGTGAGGAAGGAGAAGGGACGTGGCAGGCCACAGATCACACTTTCCCTCCTTGAACAGCTTTGCCTGGAGCTTCTCCTGTCTGCTGCTTTCCTGTGAAGGTAAATTTCAAGTTCCTTTTCTGACCTCATTTTACTTCTCTGAGAAATGGGCTAGCAAGGCAATACAGGCTGATATGGACCTTAGGCAAATGGCTCCAGCCTGCGGGCTCTCCGTGGCCATCCAGAGATGAACTGGTGGAGGGACCTGTCCCCTGGCTGCAGAGATGCTGGGAACCCAGAGTCCTGGCACTGCCCCCCCCAATCCCCAGAAGCAGAGGGGGTTGGGGTCAGGGGTGGGGACAGCACATCCCGGCTCTGCCAGGAAGCATGGGAAGCAGGAGCTCGCTCTCTCCGAGGAAAAGTGAGCCAGGAGAGTTGGCCCGCCTGGGAGCCAAGCATGAAGTTAATTAGTGATTTGGAAAAACAAGTTCAGGAAGAGCTGCCAAGGGGCTGAGCAGAGGGCTCGGGGCGGGGGGGTGGCGTGTGCCCAGCTCCTTCCAAGCTCCTTCCTCCTCCCGCGTTAGGGGACAACCCCCTGAATTCCTGCAGTGTTCACTCATTTTCGCTGTGCTTTTAAAACACAGAACTGTTGTGTCTATTTACTCATACCGCTCACCTCCGCCCTCCCGGAAGATGGGGCAGGGAAAGGGTATCCACCCACGGGTGCCCATTTCTCAGGGGCAGCAGACGCACAAGAGGGAAAATGACTGGCTCAGGATCAAACTGAGGCCAGGTCTCCTGCCTCTCCGCTCAGAGTTCTTTCCACTTTGCCCTCTAACCAAACAAGTGGGGACAGTCCCCTCCTCCTTGGTGACCCCTTCGTGTGACCTCTCCAGGGCTGGCAGCCAACGGCAGGCAGGCCCCAGAAAGCCCTCCCTCCCCGAGGAGACAGACAGACCTGAGGCCGAGCTATGATAGACGCAGGTATCTGGGCTCTGGCACGCTGCCCCACGTGGGTCCCGAGGTTACAGGTCCCCCTTCGGGGCCCCAGTTATTCCTTTTCTCCCCTAAGTTATTCCCAAACTGAGTTATTTCGTAAGTGGTGGTCCTAGGCAAGCGCAATCAAGGCCCTTCACCAGGCCTTCCCCTCTGGTGGTAGGGACACTGCTTTTTTCCTCCCACTCTCTTGATTGAGGGCTTCTGAGGACAAAAAAGGGCCAAGGAAGGAGGCAGTGGCTGCAAAATCACCCAATTTAGGCATTAAGGCCTGGAGCTGGAGCCTTGTGAGGCCATCCTCTATAGCCAGCAGGGCACCCATGCCTCCTTTCCATCGGCCCCTGCCGAGCAGAGAGCGAGCGCAAAGAGCTAAGGAGCCCTGGGGTCCGACAGCCTAGGTCCCCCACCCTGGCCCGGGCCCTCACTAGGTAAATGGCGTGCTTCGTACCTGTCCCTCACTACAAAACGGGGACAGCACTGGTGGGCACCGGGTGGTGTTACTGTGGGACTAAGTGAGCTTCTACCTGGCAAGTATCTGGCCCATAGTATGTGCTCAGTAAACAGTGGCCGAGCCCAGGAGGTGTGGGGGCCTCCACAGACCCCTGGGCGCAGCTTCTGAAAGCGGAGTTGGATCTGGAGCCAGAAAAATCACAAAATCCTTGCTTTTTAGGAGCGAAGGGTCCTGGAAGCTCATCCTTTTCTGTGTTTTACAAACCAAGAAACTGAGGCCGGGGGAGGAGGGACTTGCCCTGGTTCCTTCCCATGGCTGAATCCGTCAGTTCTTTCCATGGCCTGAGGACACAGGGCATAGATTCTGCCCGAAGACAAAACTGCCCATGTGGAAAACTGCTTGTGTGAACTGGTCTGGCCAGCAGGTACTCTCTCCCTGCTGGAAGGCTGCAGGAGGGCCCCACCACCCTGGGCTGGAGGTTCCTAGCCTCTGTGCAGGAAAGCGCTGCTCCTTCAAGCTTCCTGCTGCCTGTGTCCCCTTGGGGGACCCGCCGGTCCGGAGACCCACGTGTTTAAGCTGGTGGGGTCAGCCCTGTCATGGGCCTCCTTCACCGAGCTCAACCTGAGATAATCGGTGGTGGAAATCTAAAGTCCACACTTCTGGGTCCAAGGTGGGCTCTGCTACTGACTGCCTGAGAGACCTTAGGCAAAGTTCTTAACCTCTCTGAGCCTTCGCATCTTTGCCCATAAAATGGAAATTGAGTGCTTACTACATGCCAGACACTGTTCTGGGTGCTGGGGAACAGCAGGAAACAAAACAAACACCCCTGCCCCTTACGCCTTACATTCTCGTAGAAGGAAACTGTCAACAGGTAAGTAAAGTACATTGTATGTCAGATGCTATAAGTGTTAGAAAGAAAAACAGAGTAAAGGGAGTAAGTATGAGGATGAGGGAAGTATTTCAAATCGGGTGATGAGGCAAGGCCTTAGCCAAGGTGACATCTAAGCAGAGACCTGAAGGAGTGA